CAGATCCAGGACATCTCTGCAAGTGTTCCTTAGGGCTATGTCCCATGCACAACCGTCTGCTTCAGCTCCATTAATGCTTCCCACAAACAATAAGGTCAGAAGTGCGGATGTTCACCAATGACTGCGCAATGTTCAGCAGCATTCACGACTCCTCAGATACTGAAGCACACCCTGTTCAAATGCAGCAAGATGTGAACAATATCCAGGCTTGGGCTGACAAGTAACATTCGTGCTGCACAAGTACCAGACAATGACCATCACCAATGAAAGAATCTAATCTAGTTGTCATTTTACCATCACTAAATCCCCCAATATCACCATTTTGAGGTTACCATTGACAGAAATGGACTAAGTACATAAATACAGGGCTATGAGAGAAGGCTAGGAATCCTGCAGTGAGTAATTCACCTCCTGACTCCCCAAACCCTGTCCATCTTTGACAAGGTACACGTTAGGAGTGTGATGGAATACTCACCATCCAGCTGGATAAATGCAGCTCCAAAAACACTCCAGAAGCTTGACACCATCCAGGACAAAGCAGCCTCCTAGATATGCAGCATATCCACTCCCTCCATCACCGACACTCAGTAGCAGCAGTACTATCTACAAGATGCGCTGCAGAAATTCACCAAAGATCTTTAAACAGCACCTTCCAAACCCATGAGCAGTTCCAACTAGAGGGACAAGGGCAGTAGATACATAGGGACACCAGCTCCAGGACTCTATCATCTTTCATCACAAATGTTCTTGTTCTCTGATCAATGTACCCTCCCCCTTCAGAATGTCTAGCAGCTACTCAGTGACATTCTTGACTTTCACACTAGGCAGGTAACATACCATCCAGATGTCATGTTTATTGCTGCAGAAACTACTATCTGTTCCCCCTGCAATCAAATCCCTGATCACTTTTACTCGCGCAGTCTTTTGCACCACTCCCTGCCCCCATAGAGCTGAACCACTCCTGGTCCCATGGACTTGGTTCTCACTGAATTGACCAAAAACACCATTTCCCATAATAATATCCAAAATGGATAATCTGTTAAAGAGAGAGAGACATGGCCCCAGGCAACTGCTGCACAAACTGCCTGGCATTTTTACTCTGTCTATCTGTCATTTTACTTATTCCTTCTTGCCTGTGCACCCATTATCTGTGGTGTGACCACTTCACTGCACATGTCATCCACCAAAATCACAGCCTTGCAGACACAGCATGACTCCAGGTGCAAAACATGGATTTTGAACTGATATAGCTGAATACATTGCATGGGAAGAACATTCCATGTGGCTGAGCTGTCCTCCCGACTTGGCTTTAAATGACTCCCAATATGTTTACTTCCTCTAGCTTAATGAATATTCAGTGGATACTAAAGACCTTACCGTAGTTCTTCTACATTTGATTCTGCTGAAACTAAAGACCAAGGCCAACTGTTCAGCAAACAGTCATCTCATGAATTTCCTATGATGTTACCCTTAGATTTATTTTCAATCTTAGCCCAGTTGCTGCCTGGGGTCTGATTTTGCTTCTGCTGGTCCTCTCCTTAACGTCAGTTAAGTGAAAACCCTGACCTTGTGTGGATTTCTAGCCCCTGACTGCTCAGGTCACACTAGGCCCCGATCCTGCTCAACTGATCTTTTCCCTTACTGTTGTCGATAGCCTTCTGATAGTAGCACTGGATGGCTTCCTGCTGTTCAAGCTGCAAGACCTGCTGTGGTCCAAAAGTCATCTTTCTTA